GTAATAAAAAATGAAGCATCTCTGAGTGAATTGTAAAATTTGTGTATTCGTCTACTGAGCCCTTGATCTCGAAACGACAAAGAAAGAAATAAAATAGTTTTTACGCACGCTATTTATGATAAATCTATTAAAAAATGAAGTAAACAAAAACGAACAATTTAAGGTATTAAGATATAAAATATCAAGCACAATAAAAGCGTTTTGCATTTATTGTATAATTGCAAAGAAATTATCTACAAAGTTAAATGTATAATTTCTATTTTATAAACAGGTCCACAAATAAAGATGCTAATATCGTATCTGCTATACTTAAGTTTGATTTAGTTAAGCCGCAATGCGATAACTTCACATATGGCATCGAGAAATGACTACTAACGTTTCCGATGGGGATGATGGAGAACGCACGTTTATAGTTCTCGAGAACACATTACATCGACGAATGACACCTGTCTCTTTATGACCTCGTCGCTCATCGATCAGCCATCGATGTTGAGTTCTAAGCGATAAGCAATAGCAATGCTGGGCAGTGAAACGTGCCTATAAGAGTGACATTGCAGGATGGTTATCTGGAGTACTCAGAACGGCTTGAATATTCATTATTCGCATTTTTTTCGTTCGATGTTCATCGATCACTCGATGTCGCAAACGGAGTAACATAAATGATCGAGACAGAAGGTGGCCGACAATAAGAAATGCCATGGTCCATATCTCCTTGCATATCTCGAACAATACGTATGTGCAACAATAGCCATTAATTATGAAGGGAAACATAGTGCAGTTTAATAATCGTATCGTACCCGTTAAATCATTTTAAACTCTGAATTAACGTCTTAATTCAAAGAAAAATTGATTTGCATTATTAACACATTTGAAATGCGTTAATAACATAGCATCTCTCAAATTTTTAACTTTGTTGTTAAGGCTTTTGTACATATATAAATCGTTTATTATTGTTTATACCATTTACATATGTCCTCAACAACATTCTGAAATATCAAAATTGCGAGAACTCATTGTGTGCTAATATCACATCAAATTTTCCAACGGTTTTAAACCGATAGATTGCATTTTAAGTGTTATGATTGTCGCGTTAATGGATCAATGACACGATTCGGCGCATCGACTCGGCTGCATCGTTGAGAAATCTTCCGCGCGAGGTGCATGATGATAAGGAGAGAGAGAGAGAGAGAGAGAGAGAGAGAGAGAGAGAGAGAGAGAGAGAGAGAGAGAGATATCCTTGGACAGGTTTACAAGATTTTTTAGCCTGAGGCACGCATCTGGGCAACCCGATCGCACGACTCGCAAGGTTAGACGAACATCGAATCATTGCACTCAGACTAAACAGTAACTAAATATTTTACACATCCATCTGCATATACGTGCCTTGAGAATATTAACATATTTAGTATATGGACAACATAATATTTCACAATGTAGGACTATTGTGCTATATATTGTGAAATATTATACATAATAGGATTTTGCTTGCAAACTAAGCAGAAAGATGAAGTAAAATAATAAATATTAGAACTGATAATTATTAATGTACTTTTAATTTTTAATGTAAATATAGGTCTCATATTAATAATATAAAACTGGTATTTATATTAAATGTCGTTATATTATATTTTATTGACAGAGAGAATGAACTAAAGAGTTAATTATACTGTGTTGTATATTGTGTTGTAAAGATAGCGCTTGAAGCAAGATCGCATCATATTTTATTCTAATGTGTGTGTGTGTGTGTGCGTGTGTATGTGTGTGTTTGTGTGAATACGTGTATAATTACGACAATAAACAGTTCGTGACAAAAGACGAAGAGAGGCAAAATACGGGTGATGAAATCACTGTGCAATATTGACTGATACAGACGCCGGTTTGTTCTTTCCCTGATGTTTATATTGCCATGAGCTCTTTTTACTACGCCTGGCGTGAACGCCCGCAAGGCTTCTGACGGGCAATCATTGATTCATGCTGGGAAGCGGAATGATCTCGTGGGGCTGTCAGAAGGTGATAAAAGTTACGCAGTATGGTGATTTCCTCTTAATGGTCGCTTCAAGAAATCGAGTGTAGGATGGGACTGTAAGGTGAGAATGAGAATATCTGATGCTGCTTGTTCCAAGAAAATGCTATCTTCGTTGAGAAATTTTACTTGATCATAATAACTGCTATATTATAAAAAGGCACACAGATTTACAAATTGATTAACAAAAATTTTGTTAATACAATTGCATATTTTTTCATTTTAATAAGATGTTTATTAAATTATTATAATTAATGATAATAAAAAATAATTTATTAATATTTGTAAATTTTATGGACAATAAAACTGTTGCCCTCGTATGAATAAATAATTTGTTATAAATTAATTTTTTATAGAAATGTACTTGAGTTATATATATCCATAAATATTATTAAATATATATATAATAATTATATATGAAACAAAAAGATTATAAGAATCAGTGCAGAACACAATGCGCAATCATGATAATAAATTATAATAAAATTTATGATAAAAAAATTTTAATTAGCGATATATAGTGGGAGCCATCTACATCAGGATGATTTTAAAAAATCATTCATTTATATGGTAAGTACTACACACCATACTGAGTAAAAAAGCCTCAGTAAACATAGATCGAAAATTCAATCTAAGATATAAATAATTTTGTATGTTAATACCATGTAGAAGCCAATAGGTTAGTATCATAACTAACTATTGGCTTCCACATGTCGTGTTCGACGTGAAGATTTACTTCAGTGTTTACAAATCGCGTTCAGAATGTTCTGATTTAATTTTCACATACATTTTATAATGAAAAATTTCACCGGGAATCAATAAGTCGACATCAACCAGCCATTACAATTAAATAGGCATTATGGGAGATCAACTCATCGGACCTGTAATTCTCTCAAATAGGCTGTCAGTGCTACTTATCTCAATTTCTTTCTTTTCACGTCATGTGTAACACGTAGAAGAAACAATAAGTCAATTATGATACTAATAAACAAAATTATTGATATCTCAGAAACGGTTGAGCTTTCGACCTATGTTCACTAAGCCTTTTTTACTCAGTATCTGTGTACTATCTACCATATAATATCTACAATACCTATAAATGCTGAATTATGTTTTTAATACTACATATATATATATATATATATATATATGAGCAATACATTTTAAAATGTTAAATAAAAATTTTGAATTTTTTTGCTAAACTTCAATATAATTCTATTTTTTGCTAAATTTTAATATACCTAATTATAATTGAATTAATTCATTAAACTTGTTACTTCGCAATTAATTTAACATGAAATTTTTATAAATAATCACGACAATAGTCCTATTTTTCAAGTTAGATATTCTTGTGCTGAAAATTTTGCAAAAACTAAGTTTTACTACTACGTCTGTTAATCAAATTAATTGACATCTTGGGGTTTCAAGTCCGGGAAATAGAAAGTACCATTTATCCAGATACTTTTAATCCACGTATGCACGCACACGTATGTTGAGAGCCGTTGCATGTGCGCAAAGATTTGCCGTCGTGCACGGACAATCCCAATAATTGTACGCGACAGAGGAACGCGGTACATGCGAGATAATTAATCGGTCGATTAATTAAACGGCTCGCGGCTTGTCTTTGAACGACGGTGCGTCCACGCCGGCCTTATTCCGTCGACCGTCGCGCTCGATCGTACATCATCGCACGGACGCGGTGCGTCGCTCATTGCTCGTAAATATAGTAATTCAGCGACACACATTAGCGGCACCCGTATATTTACGCGTCGCGGTTCATTCACTTCCATTTACATGCCTTCCGTGATGCGACGAGTAATCGCGCCTGAATGTACTCCGCGAGCTTGAATTATTCGACCCTCACGGATATGCAAATATCGAATCATTTATTTTTCTCGACGAACCTTGCTTCCGTATGTCAGTGCTTTCGTTAATCTTTGAACTAGCAGAATAGTTTTCTTGATTGTGTGTAAGGCAGTCTTATTGTTTTAATTAAAGTTAAATTTAGTATTCTTAAACATATGTTTATTATAGAGATATTTTATATTGTTAAATTATACTCTTTAATTCCATTGTGAAGAATAAATACTAAAGTGTCTACAACATACATAACGGACATAATTCTTTTATTTAAAGAAGGACTATTATTTACGGCCAAATCCGTATCGGTTTAATCTTGGTATGTAAATACCTCTTATATGTCACATATAAGTATATTTTTACATATCTAGATAATTTTTATTTCTGTATTTGCTTTATAGATGAATTTCTTTTATTTACAACAGAATATTATGTTCTCACAATCAATCTAGTGCATTTTTATGCACTTTATTTATGAAAAATATAATTTAGACGGTAGGTATATCTTAATTTAAAGCCTTTGCAATGAGTTTATTCTAAATAATGCCTAGCATTCTATCTTAATCCGTAATATTCACTATAATTTTCCAATCCTTTCTTAGACAACACGCATGTTTAAAAATGAGAGATTTTAAAAACGTCTTAAAGATATTTCTTTTAAAGACATCTAAAAGACATCCTTAAAACGTCTTGTGTCTCGACTATGGACTTTTTGTTGTCTAAGTTACTATACACGATGGGTCGTTCGTGTTCTGAATTAATTTTCATCACTTTTATAAATGTACAAAATTATTAAGTGATTCTTACATATATTCTAACAATTAACTTTAAAAAGTATTTGTAAGGTTGTATACGAAAAAAATATGTATATAATTAATTACTTGGTGTATTTAGTATTTAAAAAAAAATAAATGCACATGCTACACAAATGATCCAATCGTGTATACTAAGGGTTAAATTTGATCCGTCATAATCTAATTTTGAATGAAGCTATTTGAGGTTTGGACATTCTCTAGATCCCGATGATGTATTTGTTACAAAAGATTGATTATCTTGTATCACATTTCCATAAATTTCCAATCTTATATTCTAAATGGTAAGTTTATCTAATACTTACCCTGAATGATGTCTGGTGTACGTGGGGACAGTTGTGCTAATCGGCTGATAGCCTTGCGTGCCCATCTCCCTTGGTTGATGCCGATGATTACCGTGATAACCCGCGTACGCTATTGCCCTGGTACCACCATTCTCCGCCATCGCCACAGCACCATTGAACTTTTGTTCTAACATCCGTTGCTCTATATGCCTCGATGCCGAATTTATCTGTTGTGATGATTTTGTCGTGGAAACCTGTGACCGCAGCGTCCACGGATTTTTCATAGTAGTAGTAGTTGTCTCTCGGACGACGCCTTCGTTATCAAGGTGATCGTGCCTAGCATGGGGTAATCTGTTGTGATACCAAACTGGCAAAACTATTCTGTGACTACGCAAGAGTACTCGATGATGATCCTCCGACGATGATAGAACAGAGGAGGTCGCGGCTGCGATAAGCAGGATTTCCAGCAGTATCTTCAGAGTCATCGTTCGGCTCTTCAAAAACTTATGATGACTGCGCAATGTCCTGACAACAACTGTACGAGCCGTCACATCCTCAACGGCCACGGTGGACGCGTTAAGTTCGCGACAGGCTCGACGGATATCCGGTGTGAGATCCTCCACGGGCAGCTGAGAGCACTACTGAGAGCACTACCGAACGAGACACACGGAGCAGGGCCCACGTGCTTCAGGCTTCACCAACCCCACCATGAATCTCTTTTTCTCTGTCTCGTTCCTTCCCTGTGTTTCCCTCTTTTCCCCGTTGCCGCATTTACTCACCACATTCGCTTGTGGCCCGGTCTGCCCGGATTCTCTTTTCTTCCTTTCTCCTTTCTATTCTCATACTGTAGCGACTGTCTGTTCTCCTGATACCCCACCAGGTCCTTTGGTAACCACCTACGTATCCTTCCGCGACGATTTAACCGTACACGTGGAGAACCACGTTCCTCTCGCAATTGCTATCTTTACGAGGTATAACACTGTTCCGGGCAAAGTTCTTGCTCCAACTGCGAAGGTATCTCGGTTTAAAAAACGTATATGGGATAACATATATATGACTTACATGCGGCTTGCAAATTTCATCATTGTTGGAACAAAGGTTCAGATGATTAATGGGAGTGAAGCAAACGCATGAGAATATTGGTCTTTCAGTTGTAAAACACATTCTTTAGAAAAGAAAGAAAGATATTGATTATAGTTTTATGTTATTTAGAAATCTTGTAATTAAATTATACTTATCAAATTCTATAATAAAAAGACACGTATTAGAGACGGACAAACACTAATCAAAGAGAGTCAACAGAGTTAATATATTATAAATTCTTCAAATACTAATATTATAATAAAGTAACAAACAATTTTTGTAAATAATTTTAATAAATAAAGTTTTTATTTAAAAAAACTACAAAGAAGACCACAACGGCAAAAAGATATTATAAAAAAGTTGAAGTACAAATCAGAAAATTAAGGTAATAATAAATTGAAAATGAAATATTTATTAAGATAAAATATGAAATGCGCGTGATAATAATACAAGTAAAATTATTCTGTGGATTATTGTTAAATATTTAATGATAGCCTACGATCAATTGCCTATGCATAATTTAAATGTTACTTTATATTACTTATGTTAGAGCCTCAATAAGATAAAACAAAGTAAATCGTAAGATCATAAAATAAAATGAAAGACTAAATTAGTAAACTAATATTTGACTGACATATGCCTAGAAATAATAAATATTTGATAATAAATATAAAGAAATAAATATTAGAGACATAATATAAATATAAAAAGATATTTGTTAGGAAAGATATCTTTTATCTTCTCAATAACTAAATAATATATTTTTCAAAATTTTTTAAATTATATTGGATTCTTAATTTTCGTTTTTCAGTCAAAATATTTTAATTACACTGTGAAAAATAAAATGTTAATTTTAACCTAAAGACGTTTAAGTAGTAGACTTTCTGAGACATGTTAAAATTATCAATTTGTATTAATTTTAATATTTTTGCATCAGAAAATCCATTATATGTCTTTAAGTTAAAATTAACATTTTATTTTTTACAGTGTTTATACAGAAAAAACATATAAAATTTTACATATAAAATTTACATATAAAAGTTACATATAAAACATATAAAAGTTTACATATAAAATTAAAATTATATTAACTTAATTACATATAAAATTATTAAAAATTATGATTATAATATTATAGTTAAGATTACGTGTATATGGAAATAGTGTTTTAAATGAACAATAAATGATCTTCTTTCCCTTGCAACAATTATTAGTTATATATTGAAGAATATGTTTGAGAAGATTATACGTTGGAACACACATTCTTTTGAATCAAACCAACAGCATCGCAGAGAAATTACTTCAGATCGTCAACGATCAAATTTACAATGCAGTGAAGCTGGAAGTTACACGCATATTAGAAGTCTCTGTGCCATTCTTGAATCACTTCGGCCGTGACGTTACTTGAGACCAAGGTCAGTGGTGCAGTGGCTGCAACCGAAGTCTTTGTTACCTTTTTACTCGTTCCTTACTGAAGGCGAACCAAAAGGAGTGGAATAATTGCACGGATCATCGTCACATTATTGCCCATTAGAAGAGCATGAAGCACAAAACATAAAAGCACATCGCGACCGGCGAAAGATAAATCAATGTAGCAGAATAATATACCGTAACACTACTTGTTCTTATGAATACGATTTACCCTTCTTGTTCACTCAGTTCTTCAATAACTCGATGTACAATAAAATTAAAGCGAATATCGAGAAGGTATTACAATTTTCTTACATTGAGTATTAAGCAAGAAATATATTTTAGAACAAGAATGTAAATTTTAGAAAAAAAAGAAAGCAAAAAGAAATTTAGAAAATTACATAAATAAATTGCAATTGTGTATTCTTCAATTTCTTTATGTTAGTTACACTTTCTATTTAAGATTCAAATAAATGTGCCAATTTAAATGCGAAGGACAGAATAAAGGCAAAGTAATGTTTCATTCAGACAATGTCGATGAACTCGAATGAAATGTTTATGATTAATGCTGCTGACACTATATAGGAATGTTAATCGAGCTCGCGGCGATAAAAGTATCTTTCTTTTCATTCGTAAGTTTTTCTTTTCTCAGTGCGCACGATAAGCCTCGTTATCGAGATATCGTAGACGCTCTTTCATTAATTATCGTTCGCTTTATGCCGATAATTTGTCGGCAGTCCGACCGGTTCGTCCTCACAATCAATTGCAGACTCATCGAAATGCACGTAAATAATCACGACGTTGGTAAAAACGATTAGTAATTTCCATAATTTGCTTTAGGCTGCGCTCCAAGTTACAATTGAATTCCTATATAATCATTTTCTAAAAATTAGTTGAAATTTTTTCACACATACCAATTTCATAAATTATTGTCATTCCTGAGACTGACTTAATTAAGAGTTTTGATTGTGTAAAAAATCTTGAAGAGATCTGCATTGTTAATATTTATTATTCTGATTGTTTTTGCTTTTAAAACTGGATTATTTTAAGCATATTTATAAGAAAAGCACTTGGTTGAAATGACTTATAAGCGTGCACATCTTAGCAATTTCTTCTCATAAAGCACAGAAAATTCCACTCTGTAGAGAGAAATAATATTGTGGTAAATTGCTAAAATATCATAACATCATAAATCTTAATCTCATTTCAAACGAAAATTTAAAATCATATCCGAAAGTTAATCATTTAACAATCGTTGATGTGTGACAATAAGTACAATAATCATATAAAAATAAAGCTGTTTAGTACAAGCTTATATGACAATTAATAGATTGTTTATGCTTTATTCGCCATTGTACTATAAAAAAATTAATGAGAAATTATTAACTATTGTAAATATTTGAAATATATTCTTATTTTATATTTAATGAATTATAACAGCAATATGAATGTATATACCTAAGAGAACAATCATAAAATTATAATAATAACTTAAATTTATTAAATAGAATCCGATTAAGTTCACTTATTTCTTTCATCTTTGATGAAAAATCAATAATTAAATTATTATTTGTTTTCTATAATTATCATACAATGGATCAATTTATGGAATTAGTTTTCTATATATCTCTTTCCATGACTATTCTGTAATTAATTTATATCATCAGTTATATTGATACAATCTTTAAATGTAAATTTTACAAGCGATAATTTCGAGAATCACATAATTTTTATATCTCGAGGCACGCATAATGATAGATGATATCGTTAATAACAAAGTGCAGCTTCCGTCGTGGAAGCAAACTATCGAAAGAACTTCATGAAAGATATCAACCATTTATTAAACGTTAAATATCATAAATTGCTTTATTTTTACATACAAATAAACCATAATTAGTTTTCAATATATATATATCACATTGACATTTTATTTATCTAATTATTCAAAGATATTTATAATTTACTGCATTCTATCTATTTATTAATTGAGAACGGAAAAATAAAACACGGGTTAAAATTAACTATGCTCTAAAATGCATAAATATATTTTGATATTGCTGGCTATTTGTCAAAATAATATCGATTATTTTCCTGATATACGATATTATGATACAATGTGATGTCGCAATGTGGATACACGTAGTTCCTAATGTTCTTTAATTTCTGGACACCAGATACATGACGCAAACACTGACACATACACCAGACTCAGGTCACGTATCCAGGTTTTGACCTACTGACACGATACAGTGACGTCACGGGAGAGCAGGAGGACGGCAAAAGGGTAGCAAGGCTGGTAGGTGGAGTTTCAACTTGACGAAGGAAATTTCTTCAGTACACGCTAAAGTGATAAGGATAATGCAAAAAATATACATATTTACTGTAAACTGTGTCTGCGTTCCGTTATATATTCACTGCGAGTACTGAAAATCTATAATATGCGTAATGTGAATTATAGATTTTCAATATTCGCAATAAATAATAGTTTATGTATATAGCTATTATTTATTAGCTTATGTAAGGGTAGAAAATTTTTACTTATTGTTAGTATAATATTTAAGTAGTTTAATTCAATTATGAAATAAACCGTAAATTCTTTATTGTTATTTTTATAAATACTAATCTTCAATTTTTTAAACTTATATCTTAAATCTTACATTTTAAAAGTATATTTATAAATTTGATACAGAAACAGCTTTAAAAAAAATTGCTTATTTGACAAAATTAATTAATTAATTTTTATTTTTTCGTTGGAGAATACATGTATTATATAATATGTTTGATTTACATTTTAAATAAAATAAGCAATTTTTTTCTCAATATAGAATTTTAATAAAACTGATATTAGTTTGAGAGAGAGAGAGAGAGAGAGAGAGAGAGAGAAGAGTGCTTTGTAAATGTTATTAGTTATGTAATAATAGCTATTTTATAATTTGTAGAGGAATCTCATATAAGATATTACAATTTTTACTCATATATTTTGCAAACAGGTATGTAAGTATCAAAATAGAATAGTATTAATACAAGAATATCTCTTAAATTTATTTTTTATAATAAAAATTTTTTGTAAAATATCCATAGCTAGTAATTTTTTACCATTTAACATGATTAATTAAACTATTCTGGACAAATGAAATTTTGCT